TTGTACAATATCTTACTTGTGTATACTGTTGATTTTTCCTTTTCTGATGGGCCTCTAAGTCATTAAGAGTATGAATATAACTAGACATTAATAAAATCATAAACAATTGAACTGTTATGAGTTAGCAGACATCTGTCTATGATCAGGTGTTCTGGATATGAATCTTGATGAATCCTGGCTCTCTCTCTCTTGAATGCAGGACCTGAAAAATGTTAAGCATATACCACTCCCAGTTCACCTTTTTTTTTTTTTTCTCAGTTTTCCCATTTGTTGTGTGGAGGAATGATGTGGCTAATTTCATGAGGATTAAGTGCCTTGAGCTCAGTGAGCACCTGATATTTAGCTACTATATTGGTGATCTCTTAGCCGAATCATAGACTTGAGCATTGGAAAACATGAATGGATTTCCTGCTTTGAAGGAGCTGAATTGGTAGAACCCAGGGCCTTATATGCTAAGCCTATGTTCAACCAGGCCCAGCTGCATTCAGATCTTTTTGTAATTCTATTATAAAATAACTTGGTACATTAACATAAAAGCTGTATTTAGGGCCAGGCATTGTGACTCATGCCTGTAATCCTAGCTACTAGGAAGGTGAAGGTAAGCAGATTGTAGTCTGAGATAGCCTGGGCAAAAATTCAGGACCCTATCTGAAAAATAAAGCAAAAAGGACTGGGAGCATGGCCCAAATGGTAGAGTGTTTTCCCAGCAAGTGTGAAGGCCTCAAGTTAAAAACCTCAGGTCTCCTCCCCCATCTTCCCTCCTCCCCCTTCCCACACCCAAAAAAAGACCCCTCTTTTTTTTTTTTTTTTGGCAGTTCTGGAGCTTGAACTCAGAGCCTGGGCACTGCCCCTGAACTTACTTTGTTCAAGGCTAATGCTCTACCACTTGAGCCACAGCACCACTTCTCGCTTTTCCTATTTTTGTGGTACTGAGGAATTGAACCCCAGGGCTTCATGCATGCTAGGCAAGCACTCTACCACCACCACCAACATTCCCAGCCAAGACCTCTTTCTTAAACTGAAAAGTTCTCCTGTGCTGAGAGTCAAAGGGCCATGATGGAGAAACGAAGCAGTAACTGTGCAGGGTACAGCTTTGTGAGCCCTCCTACTTCCTTCCATCTGCTCGTGATTCCCTGATATTAAAGCCCTGGGTGATGTCCCCTAGATCTGCTCTGGCTTCTGGTCCTCCCACAGTCTTCTACTCAGCTCGCTCCTCTGGGACTCTGTCTATATTCTGATCCTTGGCCAGGTGAGACCATTAGGTTATTTGCTGGTGGCTTAGGGCTGGTTTTGCCTGGCTCCAAACCTGCATTTGCATCATCACCCTTTCTCCTCTGAGTTGTTTAAATATGTCTTGAGTATGTGGATTTTTTGCTCTGTCTTGTGTGTTCCTGTTGCCACAGCTGGGTTCCCTTGGACCACTGAGGCTGGGGGCAGGGAGGGTGGGGAGAATGCTCTGGAGGTTTTCCCAGTGGGGCTGAGGCAGTTGCCAGTATTTTTTCCACTCCTAGTTATGAGCTGAGCCAGACAGTCCTGAAGCAGTTGAAATGCCTATTGATTTCCTCTTACTGTAAGAACCACATTTCTATATCAGTCCCAGCAGCAAGAAGGTCAGCCTTGAAATCTCTTGTTGAAGTCTTTGAACTTGTGTGAGAAGACACACTCCCGTTGCCCCCGTGTTGGCAGGTTTAGACATGGAGATGGAGCTGAGGTAGGAGAAGCACTCTGCAGCACATACCTGGAATCCTGTTGGATTGGGCTGGCTTTTTTCATGGGACAGACAATGATCATTTGGCCTTGACCCCCTGGGATCCAAGAATAAAGGAGAAACCTGCCTTTAAAAATACCATGTCTTGCTGTGCGCTGGTGGCTTATACCTATAATCCTAGCTACTCAGTACGCTGAGATCTGAGGATCATGGTTCAAAGCCAACCTGGGCAGGAAAGTCTGTGAGACTCTTTGTTGTTGTTGTTATTGGTCATGGAGTTTGAACTCAGAGTCTGAGTGCGGTCCCTGAGCTTTTTCTTTCAGGGCTAGCGCTGTACCAGTTTGAGCCACAGTACCACTTCTGGTTTTCTGGTGGTTAGAGATGTGTAATGGACTTTCCTGCCCAAGCTGGCTTTGAACTATGATTCTGAGATATCAGCCTCCTGAGTAGCTAAGATTGCAGACATGAGCCACTGGTGCCCTGCTCATGAGACTATTTTATCTCCAATTAACTACCAGAAAACCAGATGCGGCCCAAAGTGCTAGAGGACTAGCCTTGAGCAAAAGAGCTCAGGGACAGTGCCCAGGCCCTGACTTAAAGCCCCACAAACAACCCCCCCAAACAAATAAACTGTATCTTGTTGATTTTCGTCTCTAAGTCTGAGGTATAGATAATGGAAACTGGTAGAAAGTGAAACAGGAAATGGTGTCTAGGTTCTTTTTATCATCTCAGGTACTGTGGTATGTAATAACAGCATGCTGCTCCAGTCATGAATCATTGGCTAGTATTTGGAAATCATTTTGTCATAGAGGTTTATTTTTGGTTTAATCTCCTTGCATTATCAACATTGCTGACATGGGCTGTGCCCTGCCAACATCCCTTAAGCGCTCTAAGAGCATTAACTCCTATTGGTACAGTAAAAACAGCAGTGCATTACTACCTGTTTTTTACAGCTGAAGAAACTGAGGCACAGAGCAGTTAAATGATTTGTGTGAGGCAATAGGAAAGTGATAGTGGGGCTTGAACCCAGGGAAATATTGGTTCCAGAACCTGAGCTTTGAGCCATGACATTACTTGTCATTTTTGTCACAACCAGAAGAAACAATGCTGCGATGATAAAGTTCCTATAGCAGAGGAAAATAACTGTTTTCTGCTTTGATGTAGAAGTGGTTTAATAAAATTTCAAAACTAGTTTTGTCCAGTAGAGTTAAGGAGACAGACAGATTATATTCAGCCCTCAAGGTTTTTATTCAGCCTGTCCATGAGCTAAGCATGATTTTAGGTGCAGGGGATGCTACAGGAAACAGAAGCACCTGCCTGTGTACTACCTGCAGTCTAAATGAAGGTATATGGGTAACGAACGAGACAAAATTAATTTTGAATTATGCAGTGTATTCAAAGAGCACACATGTAATACAGCAGCAGGATAGGGTAGTGATGAGAGTTGCCCTTTTAAGAGGTCATAGTAGTCCACTTTGAGAAGGCCATATGTGAGCTGGCCCCTGAAAGCACAGAGGGAATTGGAATAGCAGTTGCAAAGGTCCTGAGGCACTGTCAAGAAGGAATGAAGAATTAGAGGATTTGGTGCCTGCCCTTTAAGACTATGCCTGGAGACAGCTGCAACTATGTGACTAGACCTGTCTCAGAGCCTCACATGGTAGACAATGCAATTCAGTTTTTACATTTACATTTTACATTGGAGCCAGAGCCTGCTTAAATGTGCTTGCAGAGGGAAGGAACACGTATGTTAGGGCCTGTGCTGGGCTATGCTGACGTGTTATGAGAGAGCTCGGAGTATATGTAACTAACTCTAAGGTCCCATCATAGGTTTCTTCTGTTATTAAGACAGGGTCTTGCCATGTAGACCAGACTGGCCTCATTGTTCTACCTCAGCTCGTTCTTGAGTACTGAGTCCCTGCTACATAGACAAGAACAGTAGATCTGGAGGAAGGGTGGGGTTTGCTATGATGCTCAGGACTGGTGTGGCCAGCAATGGTAAAATGAAAAAGAAAACCCTGTGTGCTTCACTAGCCTGGGCTTGGGACATTGAAGTGTGGGTGATATTTGCTAGAAGAAGGGATAGAGGAGAAAGGACAGGCAAGTCAGAAGGGAAGAGAGCAGGGCAAGGTGACCCTAAAGATAGCCAGGGGGACAAGTGTGTGCTGGTGCCCTCAGAAGGGAGGGCATTCAGTCTGAAGCCACCCAGCCCTCCTCCCCCCACAATGACAGCTATCATGGGTATCATAGCCATTTATAGGGAACAGAGCTTGAGATAGTTTATACATTTGGCATAGGACTGTGAATTTTAAGTCTGTCCTAAAAGGCGTGGGCTTAAGACTTCTGAGCAAAGCACATGGCTCTTGGTGTTGGGGAAATAAAGCATTGTTGGAATATCTACAGGTGCGATGGAGTGGTAGGTTGGGACAGAATACCAGATTTGGGGTTCAGGGTGGCTTATGCTGAGGTTTAGTGGAGAGGAACCTGGGCCAGGAGGCTTCGCAAGACAGAGTGGGAAAGTTGGTGGAACCACAAGGTCCAGGTCCTTGAGGCCAGCAATCGGGACCTTCAGGAAACAGTTATGGGGGCTGAGTTTGTCTGCTTAGCCCAGCAGAGAGAGAGAGAGAGAGAGAGAGAGAGAGTTGGGGGGGTGGGGGTGGGGGCGGGTAGGGTGAGGGGTTGGACTTGGCCTCTTGTTTCTGTTTCCAGAGCCTCTGCTTGTGTTTAAATCAATCACCCTTTTACCCTGACCTGTGTTATGCAAGGTCAGATTTCCACCCCTGACAGATGATTTCTGAAGAGCTTTTGAGTGTGGTATTTATGTAATTTACAAAATTAAGCCTATTTTACATTGATGTCAAAATATATCAGGTATTCATTAAGAGGATTCTGAGCTGAATAGAATTATGTATTCTATACTCAGGGATTTGAATTAGCATCCAACTTTTATGTGATTAAACTTAAATGTTAAAAAAAGTTCTGACTCATTTTGAGATTAGGTTAGGTTTAGGTTGTGGATTTTAAACTGATAGTTTTTTTGTTTGTTTGTTTTTTGGCCAGTTCTGGGCCTTGAACTCTAAGCTTGGGCATTGTCCTTGAGCTCCGTTTGCTCAAGGCTAGTGCTCTACCACTTAAACCACAGTGCCACTTCCATCTTTTTCTGTTGAGATAGTGTGCTACTCACTCTTGCTGTCATTGGAGAGTTGAGTTGCTGTTTTGGTTGGCTTATGTTCCTTTGGAACACATGTTAAAACATCTTCTTTTTCAATAGGGGGATTCTGAAGACGATGTAGAAGAGCCTTCTCAGGAACAGAGGTAAGAAAAGAAGGGAGGTAATGAATACCTGCCTGCCATATTGTCCTGTCCTCTGGATGCCCTCTGGGTGATTTTGTCTGTACTTAGTGCTTAATCATATCTGCAATATCCCTTTCTCCCCTGCGTGTACCCTCATCCCCCCCCCCTTCACCCCCTGACTTTGTGGTGTTTATATTCATGACTGATGAATCTGACTTAACACGTTATGCCTGTGTGTAGTGGGGTAGTAATTGATCAGAGCTGTCAAGGATTAGGTTTTTGTAAAAGAATGATAAGGCAGTTGGGCTGGAGAGGCTCCTCTTTGAAGGTAACATTTAAACTTACCACCAGCAGAAGCAGAAACAACGAAGGCATGCAGAGGGAGAGTGTTTTGGGCAGAGGGAGTGCCCTACAACAAAGGTCCTGCAGTTGGAGATGCTGAGAGAATCTGGGGCTTTGAAGAGAAGCTGGCATTGATTTTGTAGGGTAGTGAGATGCGATAGAATCTCATCTTCACCCAGGCATATGTTAAGAAGTGGTCTTGTGAACTTTTCTGCCTCGGCTTTCCTCAAAGTTGGATCTTTCCGTGCTTAGCCTCCCAAGTAGGTAGAAGTATAGGTGTGAGTCACCAGCGTCTTGACTTTTTCTCTTTTCTTTGGGTGCTGGGGATCAAACCCAAGGCCCTCACATATGTTAAGCACATACTTTGCCACTCTACCAGCTATCCCCAAACTCCTTTCTTTTTTTTTTTGGGGGGGGGGGGTCTGGTCGTGGGGCCTGAACTCTGGGCCTGGGCGCTGTCCCTCAGCTCTTCAGCTCAAGGCTAGTGCTGTACCACTTGAGCCACAGCGCCACTTCTGGCTTTTTTCTTTTTGTTTATGTGGTGCTGAGGAATCGAACCCATGGCCTCATGCATACAAGGCAAGCGCTCTACCACTGAGCCACCTTCCCAGCCCCATCCTTTCTTGTTAATTAGAACTAGTATTTATTTTTTTTACCACTTTTCTAGCAAAGATACTAGTAGATGTTAACCTTATTGATCTTTGGACAGAATAAAGTGAAAGATGGAGGAGACTGAGAGAGAATTGTATTGGTGATTTAGATATAGTGACTTATAGGAAGAAATAATTTTTACATTATAACTATATGGATCTGTGAATATGTACATATATGTATGTGTATATAGTTTTTTGTATTTGTGATAAAGAATGAGTTAAAGTTGTACAAAGTAGTACTGATCTTTATTGTTTGCAGTGTTCTCAAACTTTTATTTTATTTTATCAAAAGAATTGTGTTTTTATTTTTTATTTTACTTTATTTCTTTTTTTTTTTTAAAGGTTTTATTTTATACTCACTCCAATCTTCTGCTTTTTTTTTTTTTTTTTTTTGGGCGGGGGGTGTCCGGTGGTGGGGCCTGAACTCTGGGCCTGGGCACTATCTGTCAGCTCTTCAGCTCAAGGCTAGCACTCTACCACTTGAGCCACAGCACCACTTCCAGATTTTTTTTTTCTTTTTGCTTATGTGGTGCTGAGGAATCGAACCCAGGGCCTCAGGCATGCAAGGCAAGCGCTCTACCACTGAGCTACCTTCCCAGCCCTTACTTTATTTCTTGATAATAATTATTGAGATAGAATTTGCATACTATACAGTTAAAGTGTTCAGCTGATTTTTACTACGTTCACCAAGCTGTACAAATATCATCACAATAAGGACATTTTCATCCCCCCTCCACCCTGAAAATATCTTCCTGAGTAGTTTTAGGCTGCAATCTTTGCATTTATTTAAAAACTCCTCAGTAGATTGAGGTTTACAACCTGATCAATACTAATTTGCGTGTTTTCCAGGAAGTTTACCCCATTAAGGTCTCACAGTACTCTGGTCCATTCGCCACTGTGGAGATACTAGTCCCTACTGTGCCTACATTCTACTTATTTGCAGGTCACCAGTGTTTTCTTAATGTCCCTTCCACCCATAGGTTCTTAAATGGGAGTTAAGCTTCACCTGTGCTAGTTATTTGGAATTCTGTATAAGAGATTTATCTATTCTGTTATATTTAGCCTGTATAGCAGTATGAGTTCATACGTATTTATACTTAAAAAATAATCTGATACTTTTGGTCATTGAACTTCAAAAGATTTTCTAAAGGGGTTATAATTTAATGTGTCCATCTAAAGTATTCCGTGCTTCTTGATTAAAGTCACACCTTCCATCATTCTCCCCCATCATGTCTTTTCTTTGCCCCCAGACTCCTTTCACACTTTCCACTTCCTTCATCACATCTGTACGTTGCATATTCATGCTGTATTTGTCCTTGGTTCTGATTTCATTTGTCTACACTCCCTACCACTCCTGCCATTCTACAATCTCATTTCAGCTCCATTAAATAGTTAATTGTTTGCAAGGTTTACTCCCTGAAACTAATCCAGCACTAATCCAAACTAATCCAAAGTCTTCACCTGTTGAGTAGAGTGCGTTCTTCAGCCTAAGATCCCAGATACCATGTTAGTCTTAAGTTGTCCTGTCTCCTTAGGTATGGTTGCTTTCCTTATTTTTCGGTGTCATTATCAATTTTGAAGAGCATTGTAAAATGTCCCTCAATTTCAGTTGGTCTGATGTTTTTCTCCTGGGCATGGGTTATACAAGTTGCTGTTGCCATTTTGTGATGTCAAGGGTATGTAGTACGGCATGACTTCTCACTCTGATGTTGGCTACCTGGCCAAGGAACTATTGGGATTTCTCCACGGTGAAGTTGTTTTGCTTCCAGCCTCTTGACATACTGTATTCTGAAATCAAGTCATTAAGTAGAAGCTGTAACACAGATTACTTAGAATTCTTCTCTATGGGAGGTTTGTCTATTATTTTCTCACTCTCTTAGTTGTTTGCATTAATGTGAACCTGTGAATATTCATACTTGAGGTTACAATCCAGGACTGTTTGTCATGCTATTTATCTTTAATCTTCATTTACAGTTACTAGTACTTTCTTGTACTTTTCAAAAAACTTTTTTTTTGTGATTTTAATTTTAAGAACTAAGCCATAATGCCAACTTTTGTCAGTTACACTTGAAATCAGTGGAGTTGCCATTCACCAACTTAATGAAACAAATTCATCTCTCTCAAAAATTCACTTAGACAAACTATTACAAACTAGGGAAATAAATTTGACTGTAGAAAAGTCTCCCATTTATACCCCCTTAGTTATGGGTAGCACTGAGGAGAATGTAGATGGCACAGTGTCCATGTCTCACTCCGGGACTGCTTAGGTAGAGCCAGACCCAGACCATGCTGATTGGGCATGGAGCCTCTAGACACAGTCGGGGGAAGCTTTCAGGATAATTGGCCTCAGTGAAGATTTTGTTTGTATTATCTTGACTTCATCTTTTGCAGGTTTTCAGTAATTGTATTTGGTTGAAAGCCAGGAAAGCACTATTTGAAAACTTTTTTTCCCTCTCCATCTTCATTTTTCTCCAGGGTGTTCTCAAATATCAACAGTAATCTACTCTGAAAAAGGAAGATTGCTGTTGGGAACTCAGTGATGAGAGCAGACTTTAACTCTTAGTAGAATTGATCCACTGTGGAAAGTTTTTCTGATTTCTATGTTTGAATCTCTGATAAGTTTTACTGGAGAGGGGTAGTATTTGCTAGAGTATGAAAGGTGAAGCATTGGCAAAATATGAATAGTGCATTATTCCAGCTCTAAAAATTGGTTATGAAAGTCATAGATACAGACTGGGTAGGTATGAAAAGGTGTGTGTTGTCGGGGTTTTTTTTTTGCTGAGGTTGGAACCCAAGGCCTTGTGCATGGCACAAGTTCTGTATCATTGAGCTACACTTCAGCACCTTGCCTCCTCCCCTGCTTTTCAGACTTAAACTTGACTGGGCACAGTATCTAAGTGTGATCTCCTGAAATAGTTTTGAGTTAGTTAAAAGCTGATCCAGAATGTCGGTGACCTTTCAGCTGAAAGGTCCAATTGTAGACACAAGTGCAGGCAGGAAGGAGTGCAGAGTCCCCGTGGGAAGGCAAGTACTCTTCACTATATTTGTTCACCTTTATGGAATTGAATTCCCTTACCTGTTGATAGGGTTTCACATTTTTTATTGGAATTGGTCTCCCTAGTTTTCTTGTGAGTCTCCTCATCCCACGAGGTGATTTCCTTCCCTTCTGCACAAAGCCCCAGAACTTGTTAACACTGGGCTTTCTCCTCTGGTAGGAAATCGCCTTTTACAGAATGCCCAAAGCCCTAAGTGTCTTTCAACAGAGTCCCCCACCTAGTAACTAGCACGTACGTGAAAGAGCTGTTAAATATAGTAGTGTTTTAAATTTTTTAGTCTTTTCAGTTAATTACTTGTATTTTATGTATTCTTCATGTCCAAGTATGCATTTGCTGTTGAAAACACAGTACTGCTGTTGTGGGTTTTTGAGTCATATATTGTGCGTGCACACTGTGTGTGTGTGTGTGTGTGTGTGTGTGTGTGTGTGTGTGTGTGTGTGTGTGTGTGTGTGTGTGTGTGTGTGTGTGTGTGTGTGTGTGTGTGTGTGTGTATTCGCCGGTCCTGGGGCTTTAATTCGGGAGCCTGGGTACTGTCCCTGTGTGTATGTGTGTGTGTGTGTGTGTGTGTGTGTGTGTGTGTGTGTGTGTGTGTGTGTATTCGCCGGTCCTGGGGCTTGAATTCGGGAGCCTGGGTACTGTCCCTGAGCTTTGTTGAGCAAGGGCGAGTACTCTACTACTTGAGCTATAGTTTCACTTCTAGCTTCTTTGGGAGTTAATTGGAAATAACAGTCTAATGGGTTTTCCTGCTCAGGCTGGCTTTGAACCAGGATCCTCAGATCTCAGCCTGAGTAGATAGGATTACAAAGTAAGCCACCAGTACCCAGCTTAAGTTGGTTTGTTTGTAAAGAGAATGGATAATAGCTCTGTACAAACTCATGGTACCTTCTTCAGGGCCGTGTGGGTCTTGAGAGGTTTGTAGAATGAATGCTCAGTCATGGGTTTCCTGGCTGTAATAATGTAGAGAATTTTC